TGTAGACCTCTGTCGTCTTTGACGTCGTTGTGACAACTCGATATCCGTCCCTTATAATAAGTTAGTTTTCGTATCGAATATGTAACGTTAACCACAAGCTAAAAACATTTGATAGATCATTATGTCGTTCAGATATTAGGCACTATTGTGTTCGCTATACATGTACATATACATACAGTAAATATTTATCTACAATACCTAAAGATATATATTTAACAAACGATTTAATCATCTACATAGCGACATTCTTATATTTTAATATTTTAAAACATTTTCATTATGAAAACAACACGAAGGTTTAAGATATAGTGAATCACTCTGACCCAAGACTGGCAGCACGTTTCAAGGGGAAGATACAGTAAAATACTGCCAATGATCTGTCCTAGATTGGCCCTTGGATGTAAACTTTGCAAATGGTTTCAGGACGAAATATATAAATGACACTGATTGCTTAAAAAGTTGAAGATTTGGGTCAGATCATAACATAGACCAAAGAGTGAGTGAGTGAGTGAGTCGGATTTTAACGCTGCTTTTAACATTATTCCAGTTATATCGCGGCGTGTCAGCTTAATGTGGGAGGAAAGCTCGAAATGATGCAAGTCTCAGATGTCTACCACTTCGGTGAAACCCACGAGCCCGGGTATGGTGCTGACAAACCTAGAAACATAATCGGGGTGAACCGGGATTGGAACCCACAATCATAGGTTTCTGGCTTGCCCAAGGGACGCAACTCTGCACAGCGAATCGCGGCGTCTTACACGACTGGGCCACCCGTGTCCCCAGACAAAAATGGATCCACCCTGGAACTGAAAGTTAGCCCAGGTACTTTTTCACAAGTTTTGTTTGTTTGTTTGTTTGTTTGTTGTTTAATGCCGCACTCAGGAATACTCCAGCTCGATCAGACAATCAAGTGTTTGACATCATGAACATCGATCCATGCAGTTGGGATACAATGACACGCATCAACCAAGTCAGCCAGCCTAACCACCCGATCCCGTTGGCAGCCTCTAACCCGGATCTTCACGGGTGAATTCTAACCCATAATTTAGCATAGGTTTCTGGCCTGCCAAAGGGAGGCAACTCTGAACAGCGAATTGCGGCACTGAAGACGACTTGGCCGCCCGTGCCGCCCGACAAAGCATATGAATTCTACAAGGAATTATCCATTTTTAAATAATGTTCTTTGTCCAGAGTAAACAAACTGTTTACAGCGGTTAAAGTAAGACTTTGTCCCAATTAACCATGATGTTTTAAATAGCAGTAAACACTCACCGAATAAACATCTAATAAAAATATAACTAGACAATGCCCCAAGTATTTCAGTGTCCACATCTGTACATGTGTATGAGCGTTAGGCTAGTGGTAAAAGCGTTCGCTCATCACGCCGAAGGCCCATGTTTGATTCCCCACGATTTGTGAAACCCATTTCTGATGTGAGTACGTGAGTGAGTGAATATTGGTTTTCGCGTCAGTCAGCAATAACCCAGCTATATGAGGCTGTTCGAATGACGCCATGACGTCACGAGTACATTGTGGACACGGGCATCCAGGCCTCATTAGTCGGCTCTTATTACAGCCCCTCACGAGAGCTTTCTTGTTCTGCTTGATATCATGTCACAGATTTAGTAACCCGACATCCCTCTTCAAGAAGCATGTGTCCAATAACGGTTTTAATGAGATAGCTACATGTACGTGTATGCAACGTCTGAATCAATAGACATAAATATTCTCCGACCTTACAACGGACGCTAATCAATTCTTCTCCCGTGCTTTTAGGTCGTAATCGAAAACCCGAACGGAGACCATTTGTACAAAAATAGAAAGGCAAACTAGGAGATCGGGTATAATCAAGAGCAATATTTCGTACAATAGCAAAAATATTGTATTGATTTGTTTCAGTCGTGAGATACGGACATATGCACTTGGCTAAATAGAGGAGGAAACGTGTGCGACCTTCACACCAGGAGCATCCATAACGCCTACAATAAACGGCCCATCTATCCCTGAGGATGTGTGCTTTAGGCGGAGACTTTGGATAGAGGCCCCATAGCCACCCGAATAGAACACACGACCTCTGATGCCGCATCTGCAAGGTTTTGTACTCTTATCTTCATGAATGTTTTTTGGTGTTAAGCTCTTTTTCTGCAAGTACTTGATCACTCCATGTTCCTCAAAAGTGACAATTTTTTTGCTGATTTCACCGACTCGTCACACCAAATTATTTTGATCAACTGACTGAAGTTGTTATGGATATACCTCTATGGCGCTAGGGGCGGTCGGGTAGCCTAGTGGTTAAAACGTTCGCTCGTCACGCCGAAGACCGGGGTTCGATTCCCGACATGGGTACAATGTGTGAAGCCCATTTCTGGTGTCCCCCGCCGTGATATTGCTGGAATATTGCTAAAAGCGGCGTAAAACCATACTCACTCACTCACTCTATGGCGCTATGTAATGTCCACAAGAAAATATTTCAATTTTACGCAATTCATTCTATGTGAGGCTCAGAATTTACAATAAACCCCTGTAAATTCCTATCTCAGGCAAACAAGTGGCAAGCAACACGTGAATGCACGCTAGAAACCTTGGGGGACTTACGACTGTTGTTTTGTATGTATATAGCTTTATTGAATGACCTCCAATCACTGTTGTGCCATTCACAAAGCGTTTATAATATGTCTGTAAGATGGAGGGGTATACACAAAGAGAATCTCACCCGAGTGTCTTTTGTTATCAAATATATCAACAAGTGTTAATAGATATTATATAAAAAGACACGAGGGTGAGATTTTATTTATCATCCAACATCATTCTTCCAACTTTTTCAGTTTGTAGACAGAAATAAGCAGTGTCTTAAGTGTAACAAGCGTATAGTCGATGAAGTCATCTATATCCCCCGCCATTTTAACACGTTGTGGTCCCAAACCAGGTAACTGACCCAACATTTCTCTTAGGCCATGTCAAAATAGCTGCAATGGAAATTCTAAAATAAACATTTATAAAACTCCTTAATATCAAATGGCACCAGTTCAGTATGTGTCTGGTAAACATACAAAGTTTTGTAAGAAATTATTTAACGGTTTTTGAGTTACGCTCCGGAAACGAACAGCACCCCTATAGAACCTAAGTCCAACTTGTTGCCATGGAAACGTAAAAAATAAAAATTTATAAAACTCCTAAATAGCAAAAGGCACCAGTTCAGTATGTGTCTGGTAAACATGCAAAGTTTCGTAGAGAAATATTTAACGGTTTCTGAGTTATGCTCCGGAAACGATTTCGGGACGCACACACACACACACGCACACACGGACGGAACCCATTTCTATATCCCCCGCCAACTTCGTTGGGGCGGGGGATAAAATGTACTGCTGACAGCTTCAGTAGCAGAGCCATAAGTGATGTCATTTGTTTGTGACGTCATGGTAACAATGATGTCACAATGGTCTGCAAAGCATTCCGATGCATTTTCATTGCAGAGATATCTACAATGTAGATGTCGCTTGATCTCACCCAAGCGATATCTCCCGTGGGAGCCAGTTATGGATGGTAAATTACGATTTATTTACCTGTCCCTCTCAGACTGGCTTAATAATGCAGTTTATTAAGATGTACCACAGCGGAAATAGTTCTTTACAAACATTGTCTCTTCACCCCACTACCGCATTATTTTACGCTATTGATTCTCAGCTGACCGATTCGGCCATCAAGGTATTACGCATAAAAAGAAAATGTTTCAAAGGTATGCTTTGAAACATTAGAAATTACTATTTGGATGATATGATATAACATGTTTGTTTTTCGTGCTTGTAAATGAATCCTAAACTGAAATGTGCAATCAGAATGATTTAATAACAAATACTACTTGTCTTTTACTATATATTTTTTTAATATTAGCCAAAAGACACATTTACGTAACAAATACCAAAGGAAAAAAAACATGTTTTTAATTACATAGAAATACACTGAAAGACATTATAATGTCGCGTTTTGTCTTGCAAGAAGAAACAGTCTGGTTGATTTAAGGTTATCGTACAATTATTGCAACGTACACAGAGGTCATCACGCGAATGTGTTTGGGGGGTAAAAGGAATTAGGAATACACATTCAATTTGTATTTAGCGAGCATGTGTGGTTTAACGCTGTTTCAGTGCTTCAGTTACGCGTGAGCCTCGTTTCGATTTGTTTAGCGGGTCGCGTTAGAGTGAGTGAGTTGGGTTTAACGCCGATTTTAACAGTATTCCAGTTATATCACGGCGTGTCAGCTTAATGTGGGAGGAAAGCCCGAAGTGATGCAGGTCTTAGACGTTTACAACTTCGGTGAAACCCACGAGCACGGGTATGGTGCTGACAAACCTAGAAACATAATCGGGGCGAACCGGGATTCGAACCCACAATCATAGGTTTCTGGCGTGCCCGAGGGACGCAACTCTGCACAGCGAATCGCGGCGCCTTACACGACTGGGCCACCCATGCCCCCGGGTCGCGTTAGAGGCGTATTGGGACCACGCTGGGACACCGTGGGATACGTCCTTTATGCTATAGCAACCTATGCTGGTCGTAAGGGGAGACTCACTGTATCAGGTGGACAGGCTCGGGGACTTGGTTGATGGCGTGATGGCTTACCCCGGTGGTGTGGATCCTTGTTCACAATATCAATCACTGGATTGGCTGTTAAATACTATTTAAGATCATTTACAGACTTTATATAGCTGGAACATTTCTATTTTCGGTGTCAATAAAAAAAAAACATATGAGAAATGTGAAATAACGTGGCTCTTGGACTTCTGTCTTTAAAGGGAAACCCACGATAATAAACGTAATCTCATATTCGAACTCGATCAGCGTATCCTGGCACACCCAAGGGACATAATTCTGTGGAGCTAATGACTGCGGCCTACCCATCCCACCCTCCCCATTGCTATGATATAATGACACGCGACAGTCAGTGTTACCCCGAAACAAATATTATACATCACTTCGTTTCCAGGGTCAATATATCCTACCTGTTTTGTTGATGATATTTTTCGTGTCCGAGACATCCATGGAAAATCCAAGGTGGTCAGCGAAATTGATGAACTGCGTTGAACTTGTGCCACTGTAGCCGTCATACAACCAGTACGATAGTCCAGTCTGGAACAACCGTACATTTAGCAAGATTATTAATCTTGTTTAAAACACATCTGTGACGTCATTATATTGTTTGAACGCTCCATTATTTTTCAGGAATGGAGAGTTGCTTGTCAACTGTACATTATCTTGAAGCAGCATTTGAATTTTTCAAATATTTTCAACTACTGAATATTTTGTCAAAGTGTAAAAGTAGGGATGAGTTTTAAGTAGGGGAATATCCTCGTAACTCTCCATTCCTTAAAAATAATGGGCCTCGGTCCCTGCGGGGCCTCTGCTCCATTATTTTTAAGGAATGGAGAGTTACTCGGACATCCCCCTCTACAGAACCGCCGTCCACATCACGCTTAATACTTGGAAATATTTTGCTTCCTTATCTAAAAACATCGATTGAAACGCCAGTTCTCACAAAAGATATATCTATACTAGTTCTAGGGCGTGTCCAATCGAACTCGTGACATCAGCCGTGTGCGCTTGAAGTAACTTTTTGCACTCTTGTTCATGAAAATTATCGCACATTGATTAAATTATCACAACATAAACAATAGCTTCTTTCTGGTCTCCGAAATATTTATTTCCGACCCTGAAATATTTTTCCATCTGAATGTCGTGCCAAGAAGGAAACGTAATATTATACATGTTTTCATCAACGGAAGAAGTACAGACGTATAGATACGTAGGCCCTATCGACTCATGTTACCTGAAACCAGACCCGTGAAGATCCGGGGTAGAATAGGTCTTCAGCAATCTATGCTTGTCGTCAAAGACGATTCTGCTTGTCGTAAGAGGCGACTAACGGGATCGGGTGGTCAGGCTCGCTGACGTGGTGGATACAGTCATCGTATCCCGATTGCATGGATCGATGTTCATGGTGTCAATCACTGGATTGTCTGGGCCAGACTCGATTATTTACAGACCGCCGTCATAAAGCTGGTATATTGCTGTGTGCGGCGTTAAACAACAAATAAACAATAAACAAAACGGAAACCAGAAGGTATGTTCCTAGGAAGACCCCAACCTGCTACAATCTCTTATTGACGTTTGTATTATCCATGAAACGTACAGGATACACGCGACAGTGATTCTCGCTAAGGACCCCTCAAACCGTTCACATCACGCTTACCTCGAAGTACCTGTAGAAGTTCTGCATGTTCTGAGATGTGTCGTACAGCTGGGGGTTCGCCATCATGAAGGCCAGCATATTGGTCTCAGAGACGGGCAGACTGCTGTTAAGTGCCTATAATAGAAAACGAAACCGGTAATACTAGTATTGAAACCAAAAATTCATTTCGACGTCGCAACAATCACTACATTTTTGTATATAACTTCAGTTATTTAAAAGGTGATGGTTAAGCATGATAGCATAATTTTGTTTTTTGCATATGACCGTGACTTAAACAGGAGGTGAGGTGAAATTGGGTTTAACGTCGCGTCCAAAATTATTGCACTTGCATATAGCGACGTGCATGCACGTGTGTGTGTGTGTGTGTGTGTGTGTGTGTGTGTGTGTTTGAGTGTGTGTGTGTGCGGCTGCTTGTACTAGTCCGGACTGATGCCGATTTATAGTGCTAGCCCATTGAGATACCATGCCGCAGTTTAATATGAATACTCCACTCAGACACAGTATACTGACTCAGAGCCGACCAGTCCTTGTTTTAGCCCCTTAATGCCCAGCGAAAGACAAGACAAGGTAGCAACATGTACCATCTTTTAACGTCTTTTGGTATGACGCGGCCGGGGATCGAACCCGGGACCTTTCTCACTCCGGGTGGACGCTCTACCACTAGACCACGGAGGCGGTCCTTTAACAGGAAGGTCCCCATGTCATATACAAGATAATTGAATGAGCGGAGAGTGAGTGGATGAATTCTGTTTTATACCAGAAACACTCAGCGACATAACCTCGGCTTACACCTCAGGAACTCGATAATCGCGTGTATAGCATAATATATTCGTATAGAATAACAAAAATAAACCCTCTATACATATAGACTAGGAGTCACACCCGCCATCTTGGTCCCTATTCAAGATTTCGGACTCGGTTCGAACCACAGCTCGATATTGCATACTATAAAGGTGTCAATTATTTCAACCTATTGGTACTTGCTAAACAAACCATAGGCTACACAATCGTGTCCATTTGTGGTCACCTTACCTCGTATTTATTTCAAAACAACCATCAGATCACAACCTTAAGCTTCTCTGCCGAGGTATCTTCCCCAAGGCAAGAGCGTTAAATGACTTTAAAGGTCCAGTTTCACCCTTGCCGAACTTGGTTGGAATTACTGGGCTCGATCGTAGCGCCACCAGTGACTATTTCCAGTTATGTCCCCTCTAAACCTCTCCTATGGACCAATGAGATTCCACCTCTCGTATCACTTGCGTTTGCTTCACACAAAATGGTGGCGCCCAGTCAGGACGATCTGATCGATAATCAAGATCTATATTGTGAGAAAACGGGTCTTACATCGCGAAAAGCATCAAATCACGTGAGCACCTTGATTAAAAACATGAAAAGATTTGGACAATATCAGCTGACAACGAGTTGGCGGTGCACATGCTTTGCAAATCCAGCACTCGACCGAAATCTGCACGACACTTTACGAACCGGATTTCGATTTCGGTGCGCGATTTTGATTGGGCTATGCAAAGGCTCGTTAGTCCAGCCAAAATGTAACTCCATAATACCAGCCTAGTTCGGCAAGGGTGGAAACTGGACCTTTATGGTCAGTTAAGTCTCTTGCTTCGGGAAGATGCTGCCGAGGTAAACAAGAAAAACGTTGCCGAAAATTACGACACTACATGGGCTTGAACTCAGCAAATCGTGGCACCTAATGTGAATTAATTATTATTTTTTAAAAATCATAAAATGAAAATTTAAAAAAAGATGTTGAGAAACGATAGTGAAAGAGACACGATGCTGAAGATGTAATGTCGTACTACTAAATATCAGTAAGAACAGCCGAAGATTGTTACAGATTACAAGTGGTCAACACTGGCATTAGTTCATTGATATGTCGAGTAGGAAGCTAAACAGATACATACAGCCATGTCAGTGTCGAAGTCTGTGATGAAGCAGTCGACGTCGAGGAAGCCGCTGACGCTGTCACGACGTATCAACAATCTTGCACTCTCCGCGTCGCTCATGTTGCGGATCCTGGTGCACAGGTCCTGGGATGCGAAAACACGGCAGGTTATGGAAACAATTTCTTTGGAGGTTTGGATGAGCGTTCTTAAACCTTTTGTTTGTTTGTTTGATGTTTAACACCGCACTCACCAATAAAACAGCTATATGACGGCGGTGTGTAAATAAATTGGACCAGACAATCCGGTGATTGACGTCATGAGCATCGATCCACGTAATTGGGATACGATGACATGCATCAACCGAGTCAGCGAGCCTGACCACCCGATCCCGTTAGTCGCCTCTTACGACAAGTATAGTCGTCTTTTACGGCAAGCATGGTTCGCTGAAGACGTCTTCTACCCCGGACCTTCACAGGTCTAAACTGATACTCACGAAGAGGGCATTCTGTGCTGGTTTAGGGTTGAGATCAAATCCATCATCCCACACTGTCCTCCCAAAGCATTCGTAGTCCGTCTTGTGACACGACGCACGATCCTGCTCCTTCAAACCCCACACCAGGTAGACCTTTATCACTTCGTCCTTGACACTAGGCTTGAACGAGTTGAGATTACGATCAATCGCCTTGCCATAATTGTGTGTATCCTTGTATATCTTGATCTGGTATTGGAGAAATAGATCAATAATGCAGACATGGTCAACCGATATTGCAACATATTTATACACATAGAGTGATCAAGAGGGCAATCGCTGCCACCAGACATTGTACCCAGGTAAGGAATCGAACCCGCCCTACGAAGTGACGAGCGAACGCCTTACAACTTAGGCTACCTCACCACTCCTTAAATACAAGGGGCGGTGGGGTAGCCAAGTGGTTAAGGCGTTCGCTCGTCACGCCAAAGACCGGGGTTCGATTCCCACATGGATATAATGTGTGAAGGCTATTTCTGGAATATTGCTAAAAGCGGCATAAAACACTACTCACTCACTTAAATACAAAATAAGAGAAACATTCAGCTCAGGTACTTACAGCTTCTTCTTCGGGTTTCAAAGTCGTCGCAAAGTAGATGAAGACACTCAATACGATTAGGCACACTACGAAGAGGACCCATTTGATTATTTTATGGCTAACGAAGGCGAAGAAGGGGTCGCGGAAAAAACGGACGATCGGGTGTTTCCGTTCTCCGTCCTTCAGATCATGGTTCGGCGAGATTTCGGGCGTCTTCTTTTTGCAGCAGCGGAAACAAGGCCAGGTCCAGTTCTCCCAGTGCTTGTGGTGGACTACAACAACGGTCGGGAAGAAGACGATGACGGAAATGTAGTTGACGAGGACCAGGATCCCGGAGAAGAGGCCAAAGGAGGACACAGCCAACAGGGGAGATAGGGCATTTACAAAGAATGCAATCATAGTGGTCAGCGACGTCGCGAACATGGCTTTGGACGCTCGTTTGTAGCAGGCGGAGACACGCTCTTCCAGCGTTGGATGGTTCTCGTGAGCCGTTGCTCTCCATGTATCAAAGTAAACGAACACATCATCTGCACCTATACCCAGAATGATGAAGATAGAGAGGACATGGAATATACCAAAGTACTGGTAATCAAGCACAATTCTGTATACCATATTGGCTCCAAGGAAACTCGTTAAGACACTGAAGACAGCTAAACCCGTGATGAGCAAGGATTGGGTCTGGATGAGCATAAAGAGGAAAATGAATCCAAAGCTTCCCCCAGCGAGAAGCAAATCGAATATGACTTGCCGCTGAATGTCGTAACTGAAAAGACTTATTGACGTGTAGATGAATGTCATTCCTCCTATACCCGTGTCCGACTTGCTGAGCAGCTTGTCGCGAAAATTTTCAACCAAGAACGTTTCTCTTTGACTTTGGTCTGTGTGTCCAAGGTAGATAATGGTCCGTGTTATTGATGTGGAAGCTATATTCAGAGTTGCATTTATCACTGCATCTTTTCCCAGATGGAACTGCAGCAACTGTGCAATTCCCGGATTGCTCATTGCAGCAGACAGGGTTCCAACAATATCACTATAGTTCACATCTTGTGTTAGAGGTGGCAAACTTCCGTCAAAGAGCCTGATAATTGAGAAAGGTTTTTCACACTGTCCAGCGATGGTAAGTTTGCAGAAGTTTCCATACTTTGCGTTACCGACCAACTCATTTTCAAAGGCAGCAATTGCTTTGAGATTATCTTTAGTGAAAACGTTACCAGCTTCGTAGTACAAGTACAGTGTTTCCGTTGTCTTTGTTCTCTCTCCCGAGTCCGAGTTTAGGCTATTCTCTATGATTACTCCACTATCGTCCGCCATGGAGAACGCCTCTCCTCTGAGGTAAGTCTCATCTTCTGTCAGCGTTAGAGGGACCCCGGTAAAGCTCAGTGGGAACAGGTTGTATCCGCTCTGTACTAGAATTGCTGACACCACTATGAGAAGAATATGTCCACCAAGAGTCAGACCTGCAAAACAATAACGAAATATACAATATTATCTCAATAAATCAGATCTTAGTTCTCAATATCGCTAAACAAAGATCTGAGGACATCCTATTACTGGTCACGTCAGAACGTCCTTTTATGCGTCCAATCAAAGCGTCGCTTACCAGATCAGGAAGGTGACAGTTGGAATGTGTTTTCTAATCATGCAACCTCGAAAACGTTAACACGGGGTGTTCCAAACGACAGTTACGGTCAGTACGACTGTTTCTGTCAAAGTCGTCTATCTTTCTCTTCCATGGGATGAACATTTAAACGGAAGAGGCATTGCACGGTACGTGGGAAGCACTGCCATACAATCTCAAACATATGTTAGACATTCGTTATATGAATGTTCGCTTGTTCAGTTTTCAAAATTGTAATCGAGAACTGTGTCAATATATTTTTCAATCGTAGCCTGAAATGGAAGTGGCTAGGTTGAAACGAGTGCCGCAAAGCTCGAGAAAGCTGCTTTTTAATTGGCTGATGTCGACTTCTTGTTAGACATTTCAGTGGTCGGTCAATGTTCGCGAAAGGTCGATCTCACGTGACCCGTAATGGGTTGTCCTCAGATCTTTGTTTAGCGGAAGCGACAACTTCGTCATTACTCGCCCCTTTCCGTAACCTGCAAGAAGACTCGTCCCCCTATCGATGAATGTTATGTGCGAAAATACGACAAACCAATCAGAATGTGCGTATGATTTCAAGTTCTTCGTCACAGAATCCCTCAGAAATAATATTTGATTTTACATATGTCTTGCATCTAAAGGAGGCACGGGTGGCCCAGTCGTCTAAAGCGCCGCGATTCGCTGTGCAGAGTTGCATCCCTTGGGCACGCCAGAAACCTATGATTGTGGGTTCGAATCCCGGTTCACCCCGATTATGTTTCAAGATTTGTCAGCACCATACCCGTGCTCGTGGGTTTCACCGAAGTGATAAACGTCTGAGACCTGCATCACTTTGGGCTTTCCTCCCACATTAAGCTGACACGCCGCGATATAACTGGAATACTGTTAAAAGCGGCGTTAAACCCACCTCACTCACTCACTCACTCTTGCATCTAAAAATATACCCAAGACACAGTTAAATGTGTTCAAACATACTGTATAATTCCGCATGTCTAGATCTGCTTTAAATTGCATCTGAAATATATAATTATAATATACGGGGAAATATGACTGAACCATTATACAACGAGTTGACAATTGTTTTAGGTATGCCCGTTTGCGCCAAGACGGAACCCAGTCGCAAAAATGGCCACGAGAGGGGCACGAGTCGCTATTCGGCTTGTCCCGGAATAACAAGAGTTGGTCACGAATGATCTGATTTTAGTGAGATTTCATACAATATAAAGTCCATATTGGTTACCTTGCAACAGTTGCAACAGTCCAAGTTTTGGAATGAAACAGCGTATCAGCTTAGTGTGAGGAATGCCCGAGTCGTCTAAGTCTGAGACGTTAGCGGCTTTGATGATGACAAACACATAACCATAACCAGGGTGACTCCGTGATTTGAACCTGATACCACAGGATTCTGGCACGTGTAAGGGACGCAACTCTGCGCTGAGAAATTTTTGTCCCTCGTCGGTTTACGAATATCGATCTTCATCAGCATCTTTAGGAGGGTCACAGTTACCCTTATGATTAGGCCGTGAAACCTGGCTGATGAGGTGTGTCCCAACGGAACACTTTTCTTCTGACCTCTGATTTTATAGCTCACTGACCGCCGTGGTGAAACGTTGCTGAATATGGGGTAATCTCACCTTTCACTCATTTCGTTTTGAGTGAGAGTGAGTGCGTTTGGTTTAACGCCGCTTTTAACAGTATTCCAGTTATATCGCGGCGTGTCAGCTTAATGTGGGAGGAAAGCCCGAAGTGATGCAGGTCTCAGACGTTTACCACTTCGGTGAAACCCACGAGCACGGGTATGGTGCTGACAAACCTAGAAACATAATCGGGGCGAACCGGGGTTCGAACCCACAATCATAAGTTTCTGGCGTACCCAAGGAACGCAACTCTGTACAGCGAATCGCGGCGCCTTAGACGACTGGGCCAACCGAAAACCAAATGTGTGCGAAAAGGTGAGCGTTGTCTGCCCCATCCGTCACAAACACATGCAAATACATGGTAACACGAGACATTGCTATTATCCTCGGACATGCCAACAACGTGACAATTGTCAATGTATTATCAAGCATGGTAATATAAAAATGCGTTTAGTTCTTGCTGGGTTCTTCTTAAACCTTTTCCAATTTAGATAATAATAGTTTGCTTGATAATCGTGTTTCCCTGGCAACAAGGTTTTCTGGTACAGTTTTATTGAACATGATATTCATAGTTCAATTATTTTCCTTATGTGTACACTTGCTTCAAAAATATGAAGTGATTTATGGATCGTTGGTTGATAATGACATCCATTATTAACAACTGTCAACTGTCAACTGTCATCGATCTTTCGGTGAAGCAATGACTTGTTTATTAGAGTGATGTACTGCCTTCACGGAACATCCCCAACGGCTATGCGTCGCATTAAGCAAAGCCCTTCTTACTTTAGAGATCGAGATGTTTTACGATTATGGAACAGGTTTGGAAGGTTTTTAGATATTTGAAGCTGAATTGAGACATATGGAATTGTTTTCTTTGTTGTTTTCCGCCGCAGCGGTCGGTGATATTACTGCTTCCACACACTGCCTTGTAGTGAGTAAGTGAGTTGGGCTTAATGTCGCTTTTAACAGTATTCCAGTTATATCACGGCGTGTCAGCTTAATGTGGGAGGAAAGCCCGAAGTGATGCAGGTCTCAGACGTTTACCACTTCGGTGGTATGGTGCTGACAAACCTAGAAACATAATCGGGGCAAACCTGGATTCGAGCCCACAATCATAGGTTTCTGGCGTGCCCAAGGGACGCAACTCTGCACAGCGAATCGCGGCGCCTTAGACGACTGGGCCACCCGTGCCCCCCCCCCCCCCCCCCCCCCCCCCACTGCCTTGTAACTAGCTGACGTTTTAGAAACATGATGCCGTTTATGTGGGCGGGGGATGCTGATCATCTCCATGGGATAAAAAAAACCCATCTGTTAAACACTGGGTCACATTGGGATTTCCTCTCGCACTGATCCTTTCAAAGCGGTGTAAATTTATATTCAAAGCAGTGTTAACCTAAAGAAAAAATCGATGCAAATAAACAGGTTGAAGGAGTCGCCATTTTTAATATCCAATAGTTAAATAAATTTGTATAAAGATAATTTCATGATTAAGGTTTTTCATAATGACTGTCGAGATATCAGAATCAGAATCAGGTTACAGTAAACTACGGTTATAACGAACACGCTTATAACGAACTGACGGATATAATGAACTTATTTTTGGTCCCGACTAATTGCTGTAGTCATGCTGTATATGTACTTATAACGAACTAAAATTAGTAGTCCCTTTGAGTTCGTTATAACCGTAGTTTACTGTATTTGTTTTTACATTGGAATATCAAATCACAATACACTCTCGTCTTTTAAACGTTAGCAAAAACAGATTCAATTTACTCTAAAATGACGATTTATGTGAGGGAATGACTTATTATCGAAATGGTTATTGAATAAGTTTATGATGGTATGCTGTTAGCTTTTGACCGTCACCGTGGTCTAGTGGTAGAACGTCCGGCCGGAGAGCGGAAGGTCCGGGGGTCGATCCCCGGCGGCGTTCAAAAGACGTTAAAAGATGGTACTTGTTGTTACCCTGCCTGGCGCTTAGCATTAAGGGGCTAAAACAAGGACAGGTCGGCACGGAGTCAGTATACTGTGTCTGAGTGGGGTATTCATGTTAAACTGCAGCATGGTATCTCAGTGTGCTAGCTCTATGAAATCGGCAATAGTCCGGACTAGTACCAGCAGCCACACACACACACACACACACAAACACACACACACATGTCTCTATATAAGTGCGATAATCTTTAACACGACGTTATACCCCATTTCATCTAGCCTCATTGAACGTTTTTCCTCGTCCCCAGATTAACAAACTGATAATGGTATGATCAATTATACATGATATGATCCGGAGGTTGTACTCAGGTAACTCGTCGCCCTTAGATACCAGTTTTGTTAGCCGATCTGATAATTCACCACCGCTCTTATTCTTCATCAAACACAAAAGACGGATCGATGGCAAGCACGTGTCATTGAACTGCAGTAGCATGACGTAATACCGCCATGTTAATCGACCACGTACCCGACGTCGATCAATTAGAAACATAGAAAACCCAGATACATGTTTCGAGAGTTGCCTAATAACTGACGGTGAAAATACTAACTGCAATATGTTTGTTATAAAACACATCTGTGACGTCATTCCATTGTTTAACGCTGCGTTATTTTTCAGGAATGGACAGTTAAACTTTGTCAATTATATATAATGTTGAACCAACATTTCAATTAATTTACACTTGGAATAGACGGAACTATTTTTTTTATTTTTTTTTACTCGTAAATTATTCCCGGAAAACATGTGACGCCAGCGGGTTTTGAACCCTCGTCGTTTGATTTCTGGACGTTCAATGGTTGACCTCAGCCACGGTGACACATGACGATGCGGTTTGAAATTAACTATTAAATATTTTCAAATGTTTGCATAATCCTTAAAAGCTAAGAAAATAATACGTATATAATGTGTTATAGTAGGTTACCTTCAACAGTGGTCGTATTTAAAGTCATTAGAATCTTTGAAAAAGAAATCAGGTAAACATATATATCCTTGTTCAGGGCTGTTTTTATCCTATAATCCCCGTCAGTATGTATTTACAACGTGCAAGCGATTGATACAATACTAGTTGAGGACCCTACGAAATTATGAAGGGCCGTGTACCATGCATTGTAAATATCAGCTCGCGACGGTGTTTGAATTGGTGCACGTGCAACAGCGGCAGAGAAAGTAGTCCACGTGCTTCACGCAAGGTCGACTCCCTCAGTATGAATACAGTCAAAACAGAGT